GATTTCCTATCTCACTGTTTTGAGATGAAGGATTTAGGAGTGGCTGATGTCATTCTGAACATCAAGTTGTTGAGAGATGATAATGGTGGGATTACATTGCTTCAATCTCACTATGTGGAAAAGATCTTGAGTCGCTTTGGCTATAGTGACTGCAAGCCCTCTCCAACACCATATGATGCTAGCGTGCTGCTTCAAAAGAATCGAAGAATTGCTAGAGATCAATTGAAGTATTCACAGATTATTGGCTCGCTTATGTACTTAGCCAGTGCTGCAAGACCTGACATCTCTTTTGCTGTTAGCAAACTGAGTCGGTTTGTCTCAAAACCAGGAGATGTGCATTGGAAAGCTCTAGAGAGAGTTTTGCGTTATTTGAAAGGCACTGCAAATTATGGAATTCACTACATTGGGCATCCAAAGGTGCTTGAAGGGTACAGTGACTCAAACTGGATCTCAGATGCTGATGAGATAAAGGCCACGAGCGGTTATGTATTCACTCATGGAGGTGGCGCTGTTTCTTGGAAGTCTTGCAAGCAGACCATCTTAACGAGGTCAACAATGAAAGCAGAACTCACAGCACTAGATACAGCTACGGTCGAAGCAGATTGGTTTCGCCGGCTCTTGAATGACTTGCCGGTTGTTGAGAAACCTGTACCGGGTGTCCTTATGAACTGCGACAATCAAACTGTGATCACGAAAGTGAGCAGCTCAAAGGATAACATGAAGTCATCAAGACACGTTCAGAGAAGGTTAAAGTCTGTCAGGAAAATGAAAAACTCCGGAGTTATTGCACTGGATTATGTCCAAACGTCTAAAAATCTGGCAGATCCATTTACTAAGGGTCTATCACGTAATGTGATAGATAATGCATCAAGGGAGATGGGTATGGGACCCACAATATGAGTTGTTCACAGTGGTAACCTATTCTTTGTGATCGGAGATCCCGTGAATTAGATGTGGAAGACAAGCTGTTGGTCAACTGAGAGGAGAGTATTCCTACTATTCACAATACCACTCCATGAAGATGCAATACTCTCCTAATCTGCATGGCAGGTTGATGTATATCTTAATGTGTTCTAAGTGGCTTATTTAAGCAGAGATGTTATCCTGCAGAACATCTTTTGAAGAACACACCTATATGAGTCTGATTGTCAAACGTCGCAATCTATGAGAGTAGGGTTCTCTCTAGTAAACTCATGAAAGGTCACAGAGTATGACGCATAAGCTCCATCCACGGGGAAGACCTACGGTAGCCACGTATCGGTCAAGGCTTTATGTGAAGCTAGATTCACAGAAAACTTGCAGTTCAAGGCCCAGTCCACTGTTCAAGTTGCTTACTAGTGTAGCATAGAGTTCTAGGTGGAAGTTCAACTTAACAGTCTCCACTGCAGTACCGGTATATAAAACAGTGTTTTGGAACCAAAGGCAAATTTCTGTGTGCCTCTGGGATCTGGTGGGGGATTGCTGAAATTTAGTCTATTTTGGGCAGCCCAATAACTATTTCAGAAAATCCTAATAAATCCTAGAGGCCCACTTAGCCCATTTGTGCAAGGCAAGGGATACTACTAAAAGTTTAGTCCCACATTGCTAGTTTAGTGGGAGTTGGACCTCCTTATAAGGGGGGTTCTTTCCCCACTTGTATGAGCATGAGAACAAGAGGGACATCCACGCGCGCTCCTCCTCCGCCGCCCGCCTCGCCACGCCACGCCTCGTCACGACGCGTCGCGCCGCGCGTTGCGGGAATGAGCCGAGCCGATGTCTAAATTTTTGCCACGCACTACGGGTATACGAAAGGTCACTCGGGAGATGGAAAGTTTTGCTGTAGTGGAGATTAAATGCGAACGCTGCACCCTTCGGCTGCTGTCTGTTCGTTTCATCTCCCTCGGTCCCTTCACCTCCCGGCGCCGCCCTCTCGCCTCCTTCTCTTGCGCCTATAAAAGGGAGGTCGCTCCTCTCAGCAAGATGCACCAGAACTACTTCTTCCTCCCGCCACCGGTTCCTGAGCACTGCGCTGCTGCTACGATCTTCTCCATCCCGGCTTGCGGCGTGCATCGCAGGTCGGGACAGTAGGCCTCCGAAACCGCACTCTTTGAGTCCTGTACGGGAGAAGGGTGATAAGGTTTTTGGGGAGCGCTCTGCGTGACTACTGGCTGATTCATCACGGATGATCCGGTCGCCGACGACTACTTCCCCGACGACGACTTCTTCCCCGACGTCCACGACCTCCTCGACGACATGGCAGGCGAGGACACCGACCCCAAGTCCAGCGCTTCTGCTGCTGCTGTGCCGTACGTGTTCTTCTCCTTTCTGTTAGAAGTCCTGCTACAGTTCTTGGCTCTAGTTTCTGTCCTACGTATGTTAGGTTCTATGTCGTATAACCAACTTCATCTAGTGACTGTTCTAGATGTGTTTACCTCAAGTTCATATATGCAGACGATGTTTACCTTCTCTCTGTCAGATTGCATGACTTGCTTTATATTTGCTATTTTAGTCATGTTTTATCTACTATTTCTGTTAATAAAATCATTCGGTAATTTGCTCATATTTCCAACAATTGGCCTCCGCCTGATATGAGGTTACGATGGGTTACGAACTCACGATTGTAGGTACCACAATAATGCCATATTTTTACCAACTAAAAAACATGTTTTATTTATTTATAAAATTACCCTATCAGAATATAGAGCACAAGCCAACTGAAAACTAGCATGTTTATGTGGTGATTGAATTAAAATGCGAAAAGTTGAAGAAAATAAACTTATGACAACAAAATTTCTCAAAGATAATTCAGCATCCACCTTCACATCATTGATTTTTGCAGATTGATGCAGCACCAGTCTACCTTGAATCTTTGATATACCAACCAATACATTTCAGGAAATTAACTAATATATCTTGATCATCAACTGGTATAAATGTGCACATGTCCTAAAATGTGTTGGAAATAAGCCAATAACTAATGACTCTACTTAGTAAGCATTATGGGCAAACATGGTTTGGAAATAACTAATGATTCTAAATCTTAGTTCCTTTTCCTGGCCTACTGAAAACCATGTTCCACATTAATTCTATCAAAATCTTACAAATCCATGTCTTGCATTAAATCAATCAAATTAAATCTTACCAAAAACCTCAACCAAATCAAACATCCCTTGCCTTCTCTACCCATACGCAAAATCAAATCAATCCTTACCAAAACATCAACTAAATCAATTATTACCAAAATGAAGAATATGGTGTGTAAGGTATATGTCAGATACGATTGGTGTTGAACCGCTAAAATATGCATGTCCCATTGCAACACATTGGCAATTGGCTAGTTATTAGTGAACATACGTAAGAAAATTATAACATTTACTTAAAATTGTATGTGGAAATTGAACGTTCTAAAATAGAGATATATCTAATGACCGCCTTGCGGAAAATGAAGACAACTATACTACTATAGTATGCATGTACATGTGGCAATGAGCAACACAAAGATCCATTACAACTGACCGAATCTCTACAATTAAAAGGGGAGTTGGTAGATTTGCCTCACCTCCTCCCCCTGTTTTTTCCTCCCCACACGCCCTTACCACTTTGGTTTTCTGTTGATTTTTTTGGTAATCTCAACCGATGCAAAATAACAACATAAATAGAATAATTTGGAATAATCTAAACTAAATCGGTACTTCCCAAAACCATTTTCTGTTGATTTTTTGATAATCTCAACCGATGCAACACACAAAGAACAACATAAATAGAGTAATTTGGAATAATATAAACTAAATCGGTACTTTCACAAAACCACGTCCTACTCAGTCAAATCAGATCAAATCTTACAAAAATCTCAACTAAATCAAAACTTTCATTGTGTTTCCCTACATAGAAATCAAATCAAATCTTATAAGAATCTCAACTAAATCAAAAATTTATTGTCTTCCCGTACACATAGTCAAATAAAATTAAATCTTACCAAAATCTAGAATACGATGAGTAGGAAAGAATAGATAGTCATATAAATAAAATAAGTAAAATATTTTTTTGTAGGCTATGGTAATTCACCACAATGTCAAATATAAGTTAACTATTCACATAATATAAGAGTGTTTTTTTGGTTGTCAATATAAGAGCGTTTTTGACACTATTGTAGTGTTAAAAACGCTTTCATATTATATGACGGGGAGTAGTAGCTAATTGTCCATGCTCTGTCCCTATTAAGTCCTCCAAAACGATCTGCCCCAGTCAAAACCTCCTGAACCAGAATGAGCAGAGAGCCGTGTGCCATTTCTCCTACTTGCGCTGTCAAGAGAATATGGATCACACAAAATAGAGAAAAAGGAGAAGTTAGGGTGAAGAATATGACAGGCTCTCGTTGAGGCCGGGCACGGAAAAACGTTCAAGAACCTTCCTTCCAGCTGCAAAAGAGTACCACAAGTCCATTCCCACCGGTAATAACTGCCACGCCCAGCTAGCCACTCAGCTACTCACAAAGTATAGCAAGTATCAACCACAAAAACTAACCAAATAAACATAAAATGCTTCCAAACTAAGCAAAGAAGCGCCCAAAAATGCTTATCTTTAGTTACCTTTTACACACCTGCTGGCTCCAACTGGAAACGGCGTCCGTGTCTCAATTACTTGCTGGTTTTAGTAGAGAAATTAGTTGCTAAATTGGCTGTGCGTGCCATTTTTGCTCGCAAGATTTAGCTGGTGAATCAGTAGCTGAGTTGTTTTTGACACACTCAGCATCAAGAGGAGGAGAACCAAAGTAAAAGCAACGAGGAAACTTCCACCGGGAGAAGAAAAGAAAATATATATACGCCACCGCTAACTAAACCCCACCTCGATCCACCTTCCGGCGAAACCAATTCATTGCTCGCTTTCGCAAGACTCTTTCTTTCTCCCCTTTCCTCTCCCCCAACCCGTCCGTCGTCGCCTCCGCCCGAGGTAACCGCCATAGCCACGAGGAATCAAGAACCTTGCCTGTCGCACGTCGTCCCTGAGGACCGAGAAGAGATATGGAGGGCGGCTGCGGCGTGGCCGGCGGGACGGAGGGCGGCAAGAAGCAGCAGCAGCAGGCGCGGCCGCAGTTCGGGCGGTCGCTGACGTACCACCACCACCAGGGGCACCGGCTGCTGCCGCGGTGGCGGCGGCCGCAGCTGGCGGACGAGCCCCGCGCGCGGCCGCAGGCGGTGGTGCTCTACACGACGTCGCTGCGCGGGGTGCGGCGCACCTTCGCGGACTGCTCCGCGGCGCGCGCCATCCTGCGGGGGTCCCGCGTCGCCGTCGACGAGCGCGACGTGTCCATGGACGCGGCGCTCCGGCGCGAGCTGCAGGCGCTGCTGGCCGCGCGGGGCCGCGCCTTCTCGCTCCCGCAGCTCTTCATAGGGGGCCGGCTCGTCGGTGGCGCCGACGAGGTCCGGCAGCTGGACGAGTCCGGCCAGCTCCGGCGCCTCCTCGAGGGCGCCGCGGGGCAGGACCCGGCCTTCGTCTGCGACGCCTGCGGCGGGGTCCGCTTCGTCCCCTGCCCGGCCTGCGCCGGCAGCCGCAAGGTGTTCGACGAGGAGGAGGACCGCGCCCTCCGCTGCGGCGACTGCAACGAGAACGGGCTGGTGCGCTGCGCCAACTGCTCCTCCTGATCCGTCCCCTCTAATTGAATTCAAGGGTTAGAGTTGGTAGGTTCATCGTCAGTCAGATCAGAGAGAGGCGCATTTTCGGTTTCTTGGAGTTCTTGATTTATGTATCCTGAATCAATCAATCAATCCGATCGTTTGGGGATCGGATTGTTAGCTGCTCATGGATGGAAGAGAACGAATTGTTCTTGGCTCCTTGCTGCGGGAATCGCCGCCCGGTGGTGGCGGTCGATGATGAATAAGAGCCGGTGCTTGTATATGTGTGTAAAATTTGGTGCTGATATTAGCCTGATTGATTAATGTATAAGGAAGAACTGATGTAAATACTTGAGCTTTGCGAGTGCTCAATTCTTGCCCAGTTCCCTGTTTATCCATGTTTTTTGATCAATTCTGTTCATGGATGTACAGTAGCAATACAGTTCGATACCTCATCAAGAACTGGCACAGCTGTACTAACATAAAGTCTTGAGGGCCGAAATCAGTTGTGATCGACTGTACTACTCAGAAGCTGTACTCATGCTGTTCTATAGCTGTTTTCTAAATTAGAGCCACGTCTTCTGTTCTTTAATCATGCAAGGTCAGTTCGGTATTTAACAAGTCTTGAGCCTGGGGTGATTAATTCTTGCATAGTTCTTTATCTGAACTCTTTATCTTTTATTGCTTTGATCCATCTTATAACTACACGGTTTGATTTCTTCATGCACAGATGGCATTCCATGGATGTACAGTTATATACATCTTAATTAAAACAATGTGATCGATGGTCATCCGGAAATGATCATGATCTGACTGTACTTACTAAAAGTCCTTAATCATGTTGCACTCGAGTTGTTATCTAAAAGTGCAGCCACCTCTTCTTTTCTTTAAGATTCGCTGAGATAATGTGACCATGGTGATCAATTCATCCACAAGAACTTTCGATGATCTCAAGAGATAAAAGAAAAGAAAAACTTATAATTGATTTAGCTAGAAGTCCACTGTATTTTGATCATGATCTGGTAAAAAGCTTATCTTGTGTTTTCCTTCTACTACCTTGCACTTCTGTAAGCCTGATGACCAGTTCATCCAGAACAGCCCCTGGTGTCAGGAGAGAAAACATCTTCTGATTGATGCGCCTACAAGTCCATTGTAATTTATATGATCTGGTTATAAAGCTGCGCACTTGTGACCTGCTGGTGCCAACAAAAAATAAAAAAGATAAATTCTGAAATTCCAGTGTGAGCAGCCGCGGAATTGCCAGCAGAAACGGCTATCTCAACTCAGCATCGACACCAGGAATTCAGAACATCGGCGGGGCTGAGACGAATGCGAGTCTGATACAGAGGGGAGGGGAGCTGCAATTCCGGAGCCAGCATCAAGAATCCATCAAAACAGCAGTGCAGGTCTAGTCCAAAGCAAAAACAAAGAGGTGCCGGTTGTACCACCTAGGTTCGTATCGCATATCGATGAAGCTACTGTCGGTACACCGTGGCCATCGCGGTGTAGTGATGACTCGTGGTGTATCATCTCGATTCTGCCGTGACTATGAATAATTTTTCTTTAACACAACACATCAGTCATCCCTATGAACGCACACATACACATACTACCTGTATGAACAC